ACTGTGTTGGTTTCCACCGAATCAGTGTCATATGCTAAACACATCAAGATTTTTAATAGCACCAGACTAAACCAATTGGGACCAGAGCCCAAGCAGCTCATAATAAGGAGGGATCAACACTTTGCTCTGCAACTGAACATGCGCAGGCACACAGTCTAAGACTGGAGACTAACAGAACGCAAACCAGTGTAATCCATGTTGTCAGTTTGAGACATTTATGAGCTGTCAGAAAAAGGGAAAAAGAAATTCCCTCACTAATACTACATGTCGATCAGGCCCAGGAAGAAATTAAAGTCAAGAATAATGACAAGAAAGTAATGCAGCCCGTGATTCCATCCTTGTTCTTGGCATTTCGGGGCAACTTAATAAAGAGACCAACTCCCACTGCGGACAACCTCAGCGCTGGGTCACAGAGCTGGGCACCTTGCTCGGGAACGCAGCTCACGCCGAGGTGCATACGTGGACGCAGAATGGGCAAACGGCAGTGCCCAGAGGCTGAGCAGGAGCCTCTGTCCACAAGCCTGCTCTGGGAGGGAAACGACAGCGCAGCAGTCACCATTTCTAGTCTTTGAGTCACTCCTGAAGATGAGGGTTTTTCTAAAGAAGTGGATTCAAGAGGAGGTTAGAAATGGAAAGACATGCCGCTCCTGGGAGGACAGAACCAATGCTGCCAAAATGGCGACACTTCCATACTGATACACAGGTTTCCCAGATGAGCAGAAGCACTCCCGGTCACAAGCAGGGGGCATCACAACCCCAGATTTCAAGTTATATTGCAAAGCTACAGTGATAAAAATACTCACACAAAACAGACACATGGATCAATGGACTAGAGGACACCACCCCAGCAGCAACCCAGATGCACCCAGCCATCTGATCTTTGACAAAGGGGCCAAAACAAGCGCTGGAGGAAAGACGGCCTCTTTCGCAAATGCAGCTGGGAAAACTGCCTTTCCATATGCAGCAGATCTAGACTCATATCTCCCACCATATACTAAACTAAAAATGGTTCAAAGATGTAAACTTCTATTATTATTTTTTAAATTTAAAAAAATTATTTATTTGGTACAGGATCTCACTACGCTGCTCAGACTCATGGTGCTCCTTCTGTCACGGCCTCCCTGCGCTGGGATTACAGGCATGCACTACCACACCTGGTTTTGGTGGCCTGCACAGTGTGCCTGGGGTTCCCACGCTGGCACGGCATGTGGTACTGGGGTTCAATCCCAGGTCCCTGCACTTGCCAGGCAGGCACTTAGATGCCGAGACACCTCCCTAACGCCAAAGATTAAACCTTAAAACAAAAGCTCCTATCCTGTTAAAAGATAAATTACAGGCATAATTAAGGTCTTTCTGAACAGAACCCCAACTGTAAAAGAACACCAAGAATCAACAAAAGTGCACAGTAAACACAACAACAAAACCAACAAACCAAAAACACTAACAGTAAAGAGATAACTCATAGAATGGGAAAAAAATTTACCAGCTACTCCTCAAAGGATATCTAGACTACATAACTCAAAAAACAGCACCCCAAATTTAAAGACCCAATCCAAAAATGAGCATCTGAAATTGATATTTCACATATGAAAAGGTACAAACAACAAACACGTAAAAAAAAAAAAAAAGTTCAACATTACTATCAATGGTCATTTAAGAAATGCACATTAAGACCGCACTAAGATTCCATCTCACTCCAGAAGAATGGCTTTGAGTTCAAGAAATCAACCAATACCAAATGCTGGCGAGGCTTGAGGAAGAAAGAATGCTTCTCCATGATTGGTGGGAGTGTAAGCTGGTACAACCACAATGGAAATCAGTATGGAGATTCCTCCACACACTGAAACTAGAGCTTCCATTTGACCCAGCTGTCCCCTTCCAGGCATCTTCCCAGGAGAGTGGAGAGCCTCACGGCACAGCGACGCACGCACGCCCACGTTGACGGCACAGCGACGCACGCACGCCCA